GGACGTAATCGCGATCGGAGGCGCGCGCGCACTCGACGTATTGATCGCGAAAGAGAGGGTGCCACGCGTCTTCCGCTCGTGTGCCCCCTCGTGCTCTCGCTCGCTCGCCCCTTGTCTTCGCCCACGGTGATTTATACCTTGACGTTTAAGCACACACTCGCCTTGACCTATCCGCTTGCAAATGAGCCACCGTTTGACCACGGTGAATCCTCGTCGATCCGATCGATCCGTCCGTTTCTCTCTCACGGATCGATCCCGTTCTAATCTAACGCGAATTCTCGCCAGCCCAGCCGAGCTCTCTTCTCCATATTTCGCCTCCGATTTCTCGCGTGTTTGTAAATACGTTGTGTTTACATCAACGTTTCACGATAGAACGATATGGGTAATCGTGGTAAATAGATTCTAATTGTTATGATGAAATTGTTATTAGAGGGATTATCAAAATTGTTATTTTGATTTTAAATTTTAATCGATAAAGTCGACCGATACACGAGACGTCCGTTTTTCTTCTGAAACGATTGTGCTTATTCGTGTGAAAAAGAACACGTCACATCTCGTGCGGCCTCTATTTTTTTTTCTTTTTATTTCGTATTTTCCTGAAAATTTTATCCAAATATTCGCGATAATATAACGATATTCTTTTTTTTTTTTTTTTTTATCGAAATATCGATTGAAACTCGAGATAACAAAATTAACTATCACGTATTGTAAGAAGAAAGAAAGAAAGAAAAAAATGTGTTGCTTAAAATGTGTTGATCGACCAATTTTCGATATTCCGCGATATTTTTATTTACACATGTAGTAACACTCGCGATAGAATGTGTTTATGTAAACAACTAAATATGGAAATATTCTTTTTACGTCACTCTACGAAAGACGTTTGATCAAGGAGGAACAAAGAAATATGCAAATGGCGTCGTTCTCAATCAACGGTGTCGCAACGCTTTAAACGTAGATGCGGTTTAACGAGCATCGCGCTTGTCTTAGCGTTTACGTATTCGCGATACAACTCGTCTTACTTTTTCCCTTCTCTTATCGAGTTGTGTATCGTTAAAAATTCCGGTTACGCGCGCATTTGTCGAATCGAGCGAAAAGAGTAAGCTCTTCAATCGCGTTATGAATATTTCATCGTGGCCGCAGCTGTGGCGCGGCCCGTGGAAATTCATGCCAAATAATTCGCCTCCAGCCATTTCAGACCCGTTTACATCGCGGAATTACCACGCGTGAAAACATTTCTACGTTTAGCGCCATACCTTTAGGATAGAAGTTTTCCATCTCGAGCGCAACATCTCGACTCGATCAACGATTCCTTTTCCGTCCTAACAATCGTGGAGTAATTAATTTTTTTTTTTTTTTTTTCGTATATCTAATAAAATACTTTCTTCTTTTTTTCTGCATTACATCTTTAAATCTGAATTAATTCCGCGCGAATACCTCGTGGTCTCTTTTTGCGTTTGCGATCGTTGTGCTTACGTTGGAATTCGCAATTCGTCGTGTCGTTGAAAAGTTTCCTTCTGTGAAACTATTTTTCGTTGTTATCGATTTTTAAAACATATTTAAGAGATTGCGAAACGATTGAAAAACCTGAATCGTGTCATTCCACGTTTATCGTATATATAAAACGTATAATATAACGGTGGAGCTAAAAACTTTCAAACAAATTTTCCTCCCTTCTTACTCTCATTTTTCCAAAGAGTTTTTTCTCTATTATATGAAAAAAAAAAATAAATTGGATACGATGGATTACGTTAATGGATAAAGTCAGCGAGCCAGTCCTTCGTATGTACTTACTCTACTTACTCTCTCTCAGGTTTAAGATATTCCGCTCGATCGATTCCAGTGATATCTTCATAGCTCGGCTTCGTGGTGAATTATTAGACGCCTTGGCTCCTTCCCTCCCCTCCCCTCTCTATCCTTTCTTGGCGATGGAAGATCCATTTTCCTGTTGAACCGTGTCGTTTCACACGCTCCCCGCACACGTTTTCCACGAATTTCGGTCAACGATGGAAAACTAGATTGGCTCAGACTCGTTTTTCCCTTGTTTTTCAACTTTTTTTTTTCTTTTTTTTTGGGGGGGAGGGGGAGAGAACTTCGGTTTCGAGGGGTTTGGAAAGGAGGCGATACGATTAAGCGTGTTTCTCCAATTTTTTCGAAACGAAGGGTCGGATGATTCTACGAATTACCAGTAATTATTAATTCAAATTCTTAAATTTGAAAAGTGTCAAACCTGTTACTTTACTGTTACTGAACACTGGTCAATCTTTCTAACGATAAGATCGGTAATTCTTGCATGACGAGAATCATTTATGAAACGAGGGTTTTTTTTTTTTTTTTCTTTCAAGAAAAATCGTTTGAGTTATCTCTGGAGTTCTATACAAAAAAAAAAAAAAAAAAGAAGGCAAGAAATCATGGACGATCGAGGAATAGTAGAAATACCCATCGTTTAAAATTTGCTCGATTTACCCCGGATATTCGAGCGATCAAAGGAGGGACTCCCTCCCTTTTTCTCGATTCGTTTGCAAACCGGATGACCAGCATCGTTTTTTACGATAATGCGGCGAAAACCAGTTCCGAAATCGTTCTCGAAATATTTCGTGCTCTTTTGCCGCGCGCACACCCAATGGCACGAGTCAAATTGGATGGAAAGTCGAAGTGCATAGAACGATCTCCGCCATTTCCACAATGTCAATTTCTCTAACGGTTGCAATTAAAGATTCTCGATTACCGGTGTTCCCGTTCGTTCCGCAATCGACTCGTTAATAATCGGCCACTTCGATTCTTCTCTTTTTTTTTCTTTTCCTCCGTGTCCTTCCCCCTCCCTTTTTTTTCTTCTTCTCGTCGTAAAATTACCAACTCGTTCAGACTCGACGATCGAGCCACAGTAATTAACAATAATAACCACCGTTTGGTTTTTCGTTTTCTCGGTAATAAGGTACGTAGGATATTAAAAAAAGGAAAAAAAAAATCATTGGTTTTCTAATAACAATTGTTGGCGTGCAAGGGAATTTGCTGTTCCGACGTGACTCGTCTATTTCGCGTTTGATCACTTTTTGTAAACGGACTTTTGAACACGCGTTTCGAACGAGTATTACGAATACATTACGAATCTTGGAATCGGATAAATAATTAAGAGAGAGAAAGTTTGAAACAAATATAAATTTATGATACGATCGTCAATATTGGAAAAGAACGTACGAAGATTACGTACGTGAAGATGAATGGAATTTCCTAAATTATTATTTATCGTTGATCGAGGGTATCATTTATAGAATTGCATACCGATTTTCTCGTAATTGAGACGTGCAAGTTACATTATTTAATCGGACACTCGGATCTCCCTATCTTTAATTTATTTTACCTCGAATCTTTAATTCATGCTAACGTCTCCATTCACCTCTGTCTCGAACTCTCGCCTCGAATTCTTGGTGAAACACGATTCCAGAGAACGATCTTCCGGATGAGTTTCTTCTGCTCGAATAGATCTCAACGATTCCACACGCGACATTCCACGCACGCTTACGAAATTCATATTTCAAGCGCGTCGCTATCGTCCAAAGGTTCGCTCGAGCCGTTCCACTTGCATCGCGAGCCAGAATTCCTTTCGCTTTCTACTTTTATCGTCCTCCTATTGGCCGATAAAAATTAAAATCCCGTGCTCTTAAAAATCTTCGCTCTTAAGAGAGCATTAAACGTTGTAATCGCACGTTTTAACGAAAATTAAAACTTTTCCAAAACTGGAATAAGAATATACATTTATACATATTCCAGTTACCCGTGTTTCATTTCTTTCACAATGATGAAACGCGAATCGAATATTTCCATCAAAAATTAGAAAAGTCTATTTTCCGGATGAAACGAATAAAATATTTCTTATGACGCTCGTGAAAGATTATTCTTCCACGTATGTGTACATATAAACCGTCCGTCAAAGCAAGATTACCAGTATCATGCAAAGTAGAAAAACACGTGTACGTAAAGAGAAAAAAGGAGGCAAAGAAGTGGCACGTTTCGCAATAAATTCCTAAGTGTTTTCTCCCGTTATTTTTGTTAGCCCGATTTGTATTTTCGATTATCCGTCTCCCCCTTCCTCCCTCGTTTGACGCCCTGCTTGTCTCTTCGAACAACGGAATAAATTCCGCTTATTTTTGCACCGCCGCAAACCACCACCGACCATTCCATTCGGGTGCCATGGGTGGAGATGCCTCTCATCATCGCGGAAACAAGGACGGCCGTGTCTTCTATTTTTAAATCCTTTAATAGGCTAAATATCGATGGATTTCGCTCCTTCTTTTATCGAAACGAATTAACCGAGTTATCACCGTTTGGATCGCGTTTCACTCGCTCTATCTTAATCGACACGGTGACTTATCGCGATTATCGCGATTCGTTAAAGCGGGATAATAATAATAATAATAATAAAAAATGATCGCTGATAATGGTTGGAGTAGCTTCCGCGATATTTCTGAACCGGCGAGTATATACGCGGACTTGGCTGGTAATTGCGTTCGATCGACAAGTTTTTCCTTTCTTCTTTTTTTTTTTTTTTTAACTTCGAGTTTTTTTGAGTCGATTCATTTTGTTCCTTCAACTTTGCGCGTAAATAAGTCGGTTCGGGCCTTTTTCTTGGTGGTGGTCGTGATGATTGTTGAAAATTGCGGTCGGTCCAACATGGTTGGCGGGTCGTAAAATTTGTCCAGTATTTATAGTTTGGTCGGTTTTTCTTTTTTTTTTAGTCGAGTAGTTAATCGCGTGCTCTGCTTAGGTTTTAATTGTCACGAGTGCCGTTTAAGAGAGAGAGAGAGAAATGTTTGATTTGAAAAGAGGAATTCGTTCTTTCGAATTTCTTCGAATTGTAAGGAATTTTTTGATCCTTACCAGTGTCGAATATAATATCGGTGAAGCAGCAAGGGATTATTATATCTCTAAAATATATATATATATATATCTTGTACAGAAAAACGTAGATGGACAATTCGAACTAATTTTTCCTTTTCTTTCAGTATGACGACGGAGGGCTGCACTCGAGTTATCTCGAGGGCGGAGGTGGAGGAGGTGGTGCAGGGCTGTACGATCCACACGGGAGCGCCCGGGGTGTTCCCGGCCTCCATCACAGTCCACACCTCGGGGGTATGGGGCCTGCACACCCTCAGTATCCACCGCCCCCACCACAGCCACCCCAACACGTTCTCGCGGCGGCGGCCGCGGCTGCAGCATCCGCGGTACCCGATGTCCACAAACGAGACAAGGACGCGATCTACGGGTGAGTTCATTTCTGTTCTTCTTACCTCTTCTTCTTCGTTTCTTCGCCAATATTGAAGAGAAACGAGATCGTTGCATTATAATTTCTTAAAAGAAAGAAAAAGAAATATCTCTTTATTTACGAAATAAAACAATTTAGAGAATCTTGGCAATCCGAACTGAGACTGTGAAATCTTTCCAATACATAAATATCTTTTAACCGTGTAATGTGAAAATTTTTCACGTATAGTAAATCGTTAAAATTGCAATTTCATTTTCATAAAAAAAATATATATATATATAAAATATAAGTGTTTGGTTGATATACAATTAAAACGCGCGGCGCAGAAAATCGGTCGAGTTAAAATTCATTATCAGAAGGGGTTCGGTTAATACTTGACCGTTTAACGCACCGCTCGCGTTAATACGACCCCTATCGGCATTAATCTGCTCGTAACTTGGCCATACGTCGAGGAGGCCTGGCATCGAGGAATGCGGCGTCTACAATGCGGGGTTTGATAAATCGTAATGAACGCGTGCTTTACATGAAAATTCATGACGCGTTACGCCACTTATTTCTTTATCGCGACACCTTGCTCTCTCTCTCGCTCTTCTTCGAGTCCCCTTACGAGTCGAACGAAACGAAAAATGGCGAACGAATTTTCAACGTTCCGATGAACGCTCGAAGGTAAATATATATCGAGCAGGTTTTTCTTCCCTTTTCGAACTTTGCTCTCCTCGATCGATAAAAATAAATTTCGAACGCGTGATATTCTCTCCGATCGATGATGATTCACGATCTATAATAAAAATTCACTGGATTCGCGTTGTTCCTTTTCTTTTTTTCGAGAGAGAGAGAGAGAGAGGAGGGACAGCGTCATGCTCGTCTTTCTCCTTAGAACGTATTTCTTAGTAGGTGTCTCGAGACGAATTATCTTGCTGCTCGAC